CTTCTTATTTTATTACTTTTTCTTTCAGCCCCCTGATGTTACTTTATATCCATCTGTTGGCCCCCTTTATCCCCCTTATCGTTTTTGTATCTGGGCCTCCTCTTCTTACGTGGGCCTCCTCTCCCCACACTACCCTATAGCCTCCCCGTAGCCCCATATTCCCCTATACTTTACTATAGCCTACGCAAGCCCCCTAGAGCTCCCCTACGGACTTCTATAACCTCACATCTCCCTATGTCCCACCTACACCCCTCCACAGACCCCTATCGCGCCTGTTTCTCCATATCACACCCATCGCCCTGCTCCCTCTAGCCCCATATGGAGCAGATTGTCTTGAGGGAGATCATGTAGCATGTGCGGGATGAGCGGGGGATCAGGCCTAGCCAGCATGGGTTCATGAAGGACAGGTCCTGTTTGACCAACCTGATCTCCTTCTATGATCTAGTGGCCCATCTGGTGGATGAGGGAAAGGCTGTTGATGTGGTCTACCTAGACTTCAGCAAAGCCTTTGACACTGCCTCCCACAGTATTCTCCTGCAGAAGCTGCAGCCTGAGGCTTGGATGGCTACACTCTGGGCTGGGTGAGGAGCTGGCTGGAGGGCCGGGCTCAGAGAGTGGTGGTCAATGGAGTTAAATCCAGCTGGTGACCGGTCACGAGTGGTGTTCCCCAGGGGTTGGTGCTGGGGCCTGTCTTCTTCAAGAACTTTCTTGATGACCTGGATGACGGCATTGAGTGCACCCTCAGTAAGTTTGCAGATGACACCAAATTGGCTGGAAGTGTGGATCTGCCTGGGGGTAGCGAGGCCATACAGAGGGATCTGGACAGGCTGGGGAGCTGGGCTGAAGCCAATGGGATGAGGTTCAACAAGACCAAAGGCCAGGTCCTGCACTTCGGCTACAACAACCCCAGGTGACGCTACAGGCTTGGGGCAGAGTGGCTGGAGGACTGCGTAGAGGAAATGGACCTGGGGGTACTGACTGATGCTCGGCTGAACATGAGCCCACAGTGTGGCCAGGTGGCCAAGAGGGCCAACAGCATCCTGGCTTACATCAGAAACGGTGTTGCCAGCAGGAGCAGAGAGGTGATTGCTCCCCTGTACTCAGCACTGGTGAGGCCGCACCTCGAGTACTGTGTCCAGTTTTGGGCCCCTCACTGCAAGAAAGACATTGAGGCCCTGGAACGTGTTCAGAGGAGGGCAACAAAGCTGGTGAGGGGTCTGGAACACAGGCCATATGAGGAAAGGCTGAAGGAGCTGGGAACGTTCAGCCTGGAGAAGAGGAGGCTCAGGGGAGACCTCATTGCTCTCTATAACTTCCTGAAGGGAGCTTTTAGTGAGCTGGGGGTCGGCCTCTTCTCTCGTGTCATTAGTGACAGGAGCAGAGGGAATGGTTTCAAGCTACGGCAGGGGAGATTCAAGCTGGACATTAGGAAGTATTACTTTTCAGAAAGGGTGGTCAGGCACTGGAATGGACTGCCCAGGGAGGTGGTGGAGTCGCCGACCCTGGGGGTGTTCAAGGAAAGACGAGGGACATGGTTTAGTAGGAGCTATTGGTAATAGGTGAACGGTTGGGCTGGATGATCTTTTAGGCCTTTTCCAACCTTGGTGAGTCTATGGTTCTATATCCCCTTCTAGCCCACCTATTTGCCCCCTGCAGACATCTGTACAACCACATCCTCATATATCCTCCCCCAGCCCCACCCGGCATCTGGAGCCCCTTCCCAAACCCCCCCCAATGCTCCCTATGGCACTGTATCCCCCCATAAGCTCCTCACAGCCCTCTATTGCCCCAAATCCCCCTAGACCCACCCCTAGAGCCCCATATACCCCAAACCCCTAGCACAGCCCACTCTAGCCCCGTGTGCCTCCCTATATCCCAACAGCCTTCCGTAGCCCCCTGCCCCCCCACAGCCCTCCCCAGGGGCGGGACAGAGCTGCACCGGACCAATGAGAGACGGGGGGTGGTGCGAAGGCTAGGGGGTGGATCTGATGGATATGGGATGGGCTATGGATATAGGATGGGATACGGAATGGGATAAAGTCATGGGAAATGGATATGGGATGGCTATGGGGTGGATCTGATGGGTATGGGATGGGATGGCTATGAGATGGGGCTCTATTGGTTATGGGGCCAGAGGGGCTATGGGGCCAGGATGCTGCAGTGACCTTTGTCCCCAAAGATCTCCCTCCAATGTGAGATGTGGAGCCCCACAGCTGCTCCTCTGCCCTTTATTATTTACATGGGGGTGTGTGGGGGGCATCCCCCAATCCCCCATTATCAAAAAAATAAATCCTAATTACAAAAGTAAGGGGTGTCACCCCCGCCCCCTGGGAACAATGTGGTCTGTGGGGGTGGACTGTGAGTCACGGTGACACTTGAGTGACGGTGACACCAGAAGACACACTCAGTGACACCCAATGGCATCCGGTGAAGGTGACACCCAACGATGGTGACACCAGCGACCCTGTGTCACACCCACCCATGCCAGACCCCATATGTCCCCGACTGTCCCCAGCCCCCCTCCCTGTACCCCTCCTCGTCACCTCTTCAAAGAGGATGGCACTGCGCTGCACTTGTGCCACCATGGCAGGGGAGACAGCGTGGGACACTCATGGACAGCCAGGGTGACAGCATCCAGGAGCTAGAGGACGCTGATGGGGCTCTCGAGGTACGTTGGTACAGCCCCAGGTTCCACGGTTACAGTGACAATAAAATTGACCTAGTATTTATTTTAATACAAACAGACATTTTTGGGGGTGATCCCAAGGGGACATAGCAGAGCGAGAACGTGTCACTATGTGAGGTTGTCCTCAGAATCCCCACTGGAGACCTCTAGAGTAGTCCAGGAACCTCTGGGGACCCCCTGGACACCCCCAAGACCCCTCCAGAACATCCCCAGACCCTTCTGAATGACTCCAAGGACCTCCTGGACCCACCTGGGGACCAACTGGATGCCCCAAACCCCTCTAGGACATTTCCACATTTTTCTGCATGACTCCAGGGGTGGATAGAGGAGGTGGTGGGAGGAAACAAGGGGTTAATGAGGCTTCCATGCTGTGGAAAAGAAGTTGGAGGAGACTTTAGGGGGACAGTGGGGGAAGGGGGGGAACAGGGTCTCAATGTTGAATGAGAGTCTGGGGGGGGAACTCAGTGGGTTGTGTTGGGGAAAGAGGTGAACACAGTCTCTACAAGGCAGAAAGGACATCTGGCGGCAGACGGAGGAGGGGGAGAGGAGAGCCAGGGGTTGTGGGGGACTTCTATGGGGCAGAAAAGGTGTCCAGTTATGGGGGGATTGGAAGTCAAAAT